GGATCAAGAGGATTGAGGTTCAAGATCAGCTTGCACAAAAAGTTAACAAGACTCTATGCCAACAAATAAGCCAGTAATCCCAGCTACGCAAGAGGCCCTAGGTTGGAAGACCCTCAGGTCAGGCCAGGTCCAGCCAAAACTAAAAAATAACCTAAAAGCAAAAAGATGGGGGGAATGGTTCAAGCACCAAAGGCCCATTTCCTCGACTTTTCCCAAGCACCCTCCTTTTCTCCCCAGAATTTGGCGTGGTGCCCCTGCCCTGCTTTTCTGGTCATTTAGGTCTTGAATCCAAGGCCAGCCCTCAAGACATCTCCCAATGTTCTACCCCAAGCTCCACCCTCCACAGCTGCCTCCACTTCCTCTCCTAGCCCAGAGGTGTAGAGCAAATTACCTGTTGGTCTGTTTTCACACATTCATTCTCTCTCCACGGGAGGTAAACTCCCTCAGGCAGGGACTAGTGTGTACTAGAATAGTTACTAGTAAACACAAGGCAAAAGGAAGGAAGGAAGGGAGGAAGGGAGGGAGGGAGGGAGGGAGGAAGGGAGGGAAGAAGGGAGGGAGGGAGGGAGGGACCAAATCACTCCAAACTTCCTACTACAAAAGTCTTTGCAGGTGGAAATGACTGGCCCTCACTCTAGGAGCTGAACCACTCAGTGCCCAGATGTGCAGGTGAGGGATTGGGGTCTGGAGGCCCCCATCCAGGCTCAGTTCTTCCCACTCCCAGGGGGGCTGTGGCCATAGCCGGGGCTCAGGGAACACAGGCAGGAGGCATCTGGTCCCCCATCTTCTCTCTCTGGATAAATCAGTGCTGTCTGCTTTCCTGATCTACCCCCGATGCCTGGTAAAATCTGGCACACGAAGCGGGGGGTTGTAACTGTGGATGGAGGAATGTGGGGACCCTGAGCTCTTGCCTTTCAGTAGCTGAAGCATCTCCCCTGGGCCCCAGGAAGTTGGGCATCTTGGAAGAGCCGGGGGCCTGTTTTACGTAAGAGTCTCTTCCAACCAGCCAGACATAAGATCCCAAAATGAAGATGGAGACTCTGTAGGCCTGTCTGGGTTCACTGGGCTAAGACAGGACACCAGGCTGCAGCCCAAGCTCTGTGCACAGTCCAGGAGTGGTTTGAAGAGCTGCCTTCCCCCGGCTCAGCGCCATCCCAGCTACCCGAACCAGGAGGATCGTAGTTCAGAGCCAGCTGGGATCAGAACAGCCATGAGCCTCTTTCTCCAATGAACCCACAAAGCTGCCAATGGGAGCTGTGGTTCAAGTGGTAGAGCACCCGCCTCAAACAAAAGAAGCCAATCAAGAAGAGCAGGAGGTTCTGAGTTCAAGCCCCAACACCGGCACACAAAAAAAGAAGGAGAAAGAAGAGGGGAGGAGAGGATGTGAAGGAAGAGGAGGAGGAGGAGGAGAACCAGCAGCAGGAGCAGCAACCCAAAGCAATAGTACTGACGGTCACCATTACCCAAGCCACAAGCCTTGTGGTGTCCCTACTACGTGCCAGCTTTGCCAGCAAAGCCTGCAGCAGGTGGCTGGAGGGGGGGAGTGGGGGGCAGGTCAGGGATCTGAGGGCGCCTCAGAACCTCCTGGGGGCCGGAGGAGGCCAGAAGCAGAGGCAGGGAGGCTGAGGCCGGCTTCCCTGAGGCAGCTCAGCTGGCTGGCAGGAGGAGAAGGCTTTCGAGCTGTGAGGAAGGGGCAGAGCCCAGCCCGGGACACCCGTGCACCCATTCCACGCAGGAGCCTGTGCCCCACGCCCCAGCCCTACCCCGTCCCCCAAAGCCTCTGAGATGGTGGTAGAGCCCCATGATGCCCGGCCCACGGCCACCCAGCCTCAGATCCCGAGTTGCTCTTGTGGCTTTGCCACTGATTTCCCCACCAGCACCCATCCGTGACTCACCTGCCCCCTTCTGTCCCCAGTCCCAACTCAGCCAGCCTCACAAGCACCCCAAGACCCTGATCTCCCCCACCCCCACCCCAGTCCCTCCCAAGCCAGGCACATCCTCCAGTTAGCCAATGGCCTGCCCCCTCCTGAGGCCACGCCCACCTCCTTGCCCCCCCCCCCCCCACCACCCCAGGACCCTGCCACGCCTCTAAGCCCACAGGGAAATCCACTCTGCAGAGAGGATTTGCTTCCTCTGTCGTAGGAAAAGAGGAGTCAGGAGATTTTTGTTCCTGCAACCCTGGTGGGACTCAGACAGGGGAGAAGAAATGCACACGGATGGTGGAGGGGGGTGGGGTGGGTCCACAAATTGGGGGTGTCTTTAAATCACAAAGACAGGGAGCAGGCTTGTCTCCCCATGCCGCGGGCAGGATTGCATGTTGCTGGGATGTTGTTGTTGTTATTGTTGTTGATTTTTTTTTTCCCCTCCTCTTTTGGAGAAAAAAAAAAAAAGAATAAAATGGACACAGAACCCAGAAGCGCGGTTGCCATGGCAACGAAAGTTTGAGGCCAGGTACTTTCTGACACCCTTTCGGGGCGCAGCGGTGGAGACAGGGATCTGGGGTGTGGTGCAGTCAGCCGAGCGAAACGCCCACGCCACCTCAGACCTCCCCCCCCAAAATTTCTCAGCAACCGCGACAGGCTGATAACTGGTCCCCGAGCTCCAAGGAGGAAAATCGGGTTGGTTTTTTTTTTTTTTTTTTTTCCTCCTTTTTCTCAGAAGGACGAGCTCCAGCCAATGGTGACTGAAAGATACGGAAGGGAAGGGGGTGTCATGCCCCCCCAGTAAATTCACTAGCCATGTTTGGACTACCTCAGGCCTGGGGTGACCATCTCTGCTCAACCCCCCCCCCAAAAATGCTTTCTCCAGTTCCCAGAGGCCTAGATCTGCTTCCCACCACATCTCTTTGATTCCTTTCTGTCCCCCAAGAAGATACTTCGGGCTTCCTCACCAAAAATAAACCACAAAAACCCCTCAGTTTCCTCACCTGAAAAGTGGGCTTTCCACACGTGGGTCCAGTTGAGGGCCCGAGTCTAACAAGATGGTACAGAGGGGACAGTCACCTAGCTACTTGGAAAGTACAGAGTGAGGGATAGTGTTTGAAGCCAGCCCTGATTATAAAAGAAGTTTGTGAGACTCCCTCTCAATCCATGGCTGGGTATGGTGGCTGCAGCCTGTAATCCCAGCCTACAGGGACACAGCACAATGGCTGGGGGCAGTGGTATCCACCTACCACCCCATGACTCCAGACAGGGCAAGTGGGAGGGCACCGAGGGAGGCTCTACCTCAGAAATAACCAATGCCAGAAGGGGCTGGAGGTGTGGCTCAGGTGGTAGAGCACCTGCCTGGCAAACAGAGGCCCTGAGTTCAAGCGCCGAGTGCCGGCACACACAGGAAAGAGAAGATGCTTTCAAGTAAGAAGTTCAGAATCTGGTGCTTGTAAAGAGCTGAAAATTGATGTCGGTCTGCATGGTTCTTAACTCTGCATCCATCAACAGTTTGTTTAGAATGCACTGCCTGAGCAGAGCATTGGCAAAGCTATACCTGACAGAGGCGTGGGGGACTGGGTGGAGCCTCAGAGGGGAGCCCGGGCCTGGACACCCCGGGGCCAGACGCACAGCACAGCTCTGGCTGCCAGGGCCAGGGCTCCACTCCAGGGTCTCAAGTGTTTTCTCGTGTGGGGGAGACCGGCGGGCTTTGAGGACGCAGGTGGGCCCTGGTGGAAGCAGGCTGGTCTCCAGGGTCACATAAAGCTCACGTTGAAGTGTTGGGGTGCAGCTGTACCCTGCAACACGGTGTCCTGAGGCCTCCTTGTGGGAGAAGAGGCTCGGCTGGGTTATAGCCAAAAAGGCAGAGGCTAACTTTCTTTTTCCTTTCTTTTGATTAGACCCAAGGCATTGGTTCACCCCAGAAATGAGTTTGATGGGTGGGGGGAGGTTAAGAAAACCAAAAACGATCAGGGTGGGACCTGCTCAAATCCCTGTGTCTTCCACAAACGGCCACCATGGCTAGGAGAACATCACAGGAAAGACGGGATGGAGAGACACAGAGTGGGGGCCTGTGGCCACACGAGACCCCCACACCCCAAGCCCGCCCCCCAGGACCCCATTTCCTTTGCATATTATCATTCTCCTACTATAACTATTCATGGAGGACCTACTAGGTGCTTGACCCCACGCAGCCAGGGTGGGGGTGTCGGACCCCAGGAAACACCGGGCTGTGCCAGCCACGAAGCTTGGAGAGCCAGGGCTGAGACCCCAAGGTAAGGAGACCTCACCCCCCCAAGGAGGTGGGGGTGGCGGGTAGCCGCACGCTCTCCCTCCAGGACCCCGCGGGGAGAGGCGGCCCGCGCGGCCCGGGGCGCGTTCCACCCACTCGGTTCCCTCCAAGTGCGCGCGTGGGGTGTCCACGGGCACCGGCGCCCGGGTGGGGAGTTCTAATGGTGAGGAGAGGGGCGCGCGCCCCTCCACGCACTGGGGGCCCCGCCAGTCCGAGGGCTGCGCCCCCCCACCGCCGGGCACAGCCCCCCCACTCCCCCCCACCCCGAGCCCCACGCCAGCACCTCGCCGCCTGCCTTGGGGCCCCTGGGCGCGCGTGGAGCCGGCAGCGGAGGGGCTGAGCCCGGCCTGGGGAGCGGCCACCCCCCGCCCCACTTTGGAGACGCCCCATGTTCCCGCCGCCCGGGTTCCCTCTCCGGAGGCTGCCAGGAGCCCGGGGCTCTCCGGCTGCCGGGTTTAAGGGGTGATCACGGGGGTCCCGAGCCGGGATGGAGCGCCGAGCGACCCCCCGTCCCCACCGCCACCCCGGCCGGAGGCGCGACGGCGCGCGCGGACTTGCGCGGGCCGCCGGGCCGGTGCGGGGCGGGGGGGGGGGGTGTGCGGCCCCGTCCCCGAGCCCTCCCCCGGCCGGCGTCCTCGGGGTGGGGGGGATCCCGTGACGCCCCCCGTCACCACCACCTCCATCTCATCCAGGATCCCCCCCCCCCCAGCCCGCGATCGCTGCGGGGCGCGCGGGGCCGCCGCCGCCCGCCCTCCGCTCCCCGCGCCCGGCCCCGCACTCACCCAGCCCGCCGGGCTCCTCCTCGCACGAGAACCAGATGCCGGCGTGGAAGCGGCGGAGCAGGAAGCGGTCGTCGCCGGTCTCCCAGCTGTACGGCGCCCCCGGGGGCCCGGGCCCCGCGGCGTCGGCGGGGGCGGCGGGGGCGGCCGTGCCGTTGGCGCCGTGGGCCGTGGCGTTGGCGCCCGGGTCCGGGCAGCGGACGCCGCCGCCGCCGCCCTGGCCGCAGCCGGGCTTGGGCACCCGGCGCGCGCCCTGGCACCAGTGCGTGGTGAGGAAGGCGGTGGTGGCGAAGAGCAGCGCCAGCAGGTTCAGGGCCACGGCCAGGAGCGCCCGGCCGCGGCGGCTCGTCCTCATGCCGGCCGCCCGGGAGGGGGGGGCCCGGCGCGCGAAGTTGGCGGCCGGCGCCCGCCGCGCCCCGCGGGGCTCCTCGGGAGGGGGCGCCCCGGCGATCGGCGCGCGCGGCGCGGGCCCACGCCCCCTCCCCCGGCCCCGGCGAGGGGGCGCAGGGCGGCCGAGGGGACCCCGCGCGCCCGGAGCCCCGAGCGAGCGAGAGAGAGCGAGCGAGAGAGAGCGAGCGGGGAGAGAGCGCGCGAGTGCGCCTGGCCGCGGCGGGGAGACGCGCGCCCCGCGGCGGGGAGACACCTGCCGGCGGCCCGCGACACCGCTGCGCCCGCCCGCACGGGGAGAGGACGCCAACCCCGCGCCGGCGCGGGCGGGCGGGGGGGGGGGGGGTCCGGAGGGAAGCGACGCCCCCCACCCCCGGAGAGGAACCCGGAGCGCACCCCCCCCTCCGCCCCACGGCCGCCCCAGAGGATCCCAGAGCCAGGGACACAGCCGGACCCCCCGCCCAGGACTGTCCCCACCCCACCCCCAGGTCCCGGCCCCAGGGACAGCTGCCCAGGACCCCCCCACACTCGAGAAGGACCTTGGCTTGGGGAGGGGGGGTCACTGGCCAGGAATGGAAGGCCCCCACAGAGATGCGGGGTCACAGAGGCTGGAAGGCGGGCCCAGCCTCTGGGTCACCTCCAGCACACACACACACACACACACACACACACACACACACTCCTGCACCCCACCCAAGCCTGAGCCCTAGGAGGGCGTGGAAGAGCAAGGAGGGCGCCCCAAACACACACACACACAGGCCGGCCCCCATGAGATCCCCGACAGCAGCACCCCAGATCTCAAACCAGACGCAGGGGCGCCCCACAGAGCCGGCCGACCTGGAATCTATAAGGTTGCCAGTGGGAAAAGAGCCCGCAAACAGGGTGCCTTAGAAGATCAGGAAAATGGGAGGGGGGTCTTCACTAGCTGTAGGGGTGGGAGCGAGTCCTTCGCTCTCCCAGAGCCACATCACCTTGGCGCATTTGGCGCACAGTAGGTGCTCAATAAGCACCAGCCACTAGGGATAACATCTGGACCGGGTGGTTGAAGCCACTCAGAACCAACCTTTTCAGGGGCCCCTCGTGCAAACCAGGATTGCCCACCTGCGGGCACCCGCCCTCACCCCCACCTCCTTCTCTGAGCTCCCAGGCCCGGGGTGTGTGTAACCATTAATTGCACGTTGATTGCAAGAGCTAATTTGAATTCTGCCCAAGCTGAGCACAGTCTCCAGCCACCCCCAGCTCACCGCGCGGTAGGCTTGGCAGAATTCAAGGTTAACGAATTGCCTTCCCCCTGTGGGGGTGGCCAGGCTCACATTGTCAGCTGCTGTCGGGAGGTAAGATGGGCTGGAACTGGCATGAAGAATGGCCAGGGGTCCCTACACTTGCTTATTAGAGCCTTTTGCTGGCTCCCAGCAACCGCTGTCCAACTATTTCGAGGAGAATGTGTGTGGTGATGGTAGCATCAGAGGATACTGGTTGACAGAGGAGATCTATCATGGCCAAAGAGCTACGAGGAAGCCACCAGCACTTTTAACAAGCACGCAATATTTATCCTTCCAGTGTCTGGACACATTTCCAACGTGTCCCTTGGCAGTGAGTTTCATGTCCCTCTTCTTGCAGGACCCAGAGCCCTTCAAGCCTCAGAGTTCTGAATTGGAGGGTTCAAAGTCAGGACCAAGCAAAACAGATCTCAAGGAGCACGCGGGCCCAGGGGCCTGACATCGAAGGCAATTACAACTTCTCTGACCTGCCACTGTGCGTTCAGCTCCCAGGAGAAAACACCAACGACTTTCATCAGAACAGGGCAGAGCTGGGTGCTGGTGGCTCACTCCTCATTACTCAGGACGCTGAGATCTGAGAATGGAGGTTCGAATCCAGCCTAGGCAGGAAAATCTTATCTCCAATCAACCACCAAAAAGCCAAAAGGGAAGCTGTGGCTCAAGTGGTAGAGAACTAGCCTTGGGCACAAATGCTGAGAGACAGCACTCAGGCCCTGAGTTCAAGCCCCAGGAATTGCACATACACACACAGAAAAGAGCGGAGTAGATCATGCAGGGGCTGGGTATGAAAGGGAACAAGATGGAGAAGGTGGAGGAAGCTCCTTACACAATGGCAAGGTGACATTGGAGCAAAGATTTGAAGGAGCTCAGGAGGGACCATGAGTCCTTGTCTGTGAGAAGAAGAAAGATCCAGGCCGAGGGACAGCCTGTGCAAAAGTCCTGAGGACAGAGTCTATGTGGCCGTCTGTGGGAAAGCAAAGCCACAATGTGAGCAAGGGGCAGAGCCAAAGAGGTCAGGGAGATGAAGAACAGATCACCAGGCCGCTGCAAGGATGCTGCTGGTGCTTCCAGAAGAAAGCAGGAGCCAGCAGAGGGTCTGGGCAGAAGGAAACCAAGTCTACCTTCAAGTGGAAGGGAGCACTCCGGGGGGGCTGTGTGCAGAGGGCTAGAAGCAGAGCGATCTGAGTAGGAGACTTAGATTAGGGCAGCAGAGGTGGCCTTGGTTATGTTCCATTGGTCTTTGTGGTGCTGGGGATGGAAACCCGAGCCTGCACAATTAAGGCAAGCGCTCTCCCACCGAGCTGTACCCTCACTACCAATGACTTGATTTGTCCAAAGACGGAGCGTGGGGTGCAGGGGCATTCGGGGGGGCTGGAGCTCCTGCAAGGACAGAGGTGATGTTTACTAGGCTGACTGCAGATCTACAGGGTGCAGTGGAAATTCAAACCGACTGATTCTGTGCCCGACCCGGAGCTGAGGGGGAGGCAGTGGTGAAGACTTCACCACCAGGGGGCGCCACATCATACCCCTTTTTCGGTCCTTGAAATGCATCCAAACGCACCAGCAAGCGCCTTTGCATGGGGCGGGTGCATTGATCCTGAGTGATCCCAGCTGTAGTGACCTTGGGCACAGGATTGACCTTGACTTTGCAATGGGTGCAAACGAATGGGATTGGTTTAGGAAACAGGAAATTAGGGCTCAAGGCCCCTCCTCCTAGCCCAGTGCCATTGGCCAAGGCCTGTCAAAGGCCTTTTTAACCATCCCTGCCAGGATCCCTGGCCTGCACCTGCTGATGGGCAGGCCAGTCCCGCTCACCTCTGCCCAATCACCTGGCAAGCATTTCCATTGCCTTTCTGGAGGACAAAGTCCAAACTGATCACTCTGGTCCAGAACTCCTGGCTCCTACACACACACACACACACACACACACACACACACACACACACACACACACACACACACACATTGGTCTGACAGACGTAGGCCTTCTCCCCTTTCCTGGAGTTGCTGCCTGGGCTTGTCACCAAACAACTCTGAACCATGATGTCTGTTTCCACACCTGAGTCCCCCATAGGTGCCCCCCCTCACCCCTACCCGCAATCTCCGTCAGCCCTGAGGCTAGCCTGCCGGTCATGTTGGGTTCAACCTTACGTTTTGTGTAGCCTGGCTGGAGTTTGACTCTAGAATGTTAAATTTTCATGAGAAGCCAGCATTCAACCATCATGAGATCGGACATAAACATCTTGATTTTGGTTTCTCTTACAAGATCAAATTCCCACCAACCCCTGGGCCTGCATTTTTGCCTACAAACATTGACTAATGTCCCTGTTACAGGAGCACAAACAGCCATGGTGCCACTGCGCCTTTCTGATACTAAGAACAATTGTCAGGCTACTACTGGGGGGATTCGAATTCAGAACTGGGTACCAAGGTCCAAAATGCTTTTGATAAAAGCAGTCTAGGAGCCTAGCCAGGCAGCGGTGGCTCACACCTGTAATCTTAGTAGGCAGAGATTGGATTGAGGGTCCAGGCCAGTCAGACATCAATGAAAAGACCCCAAAGGCAAAATGGGCTGGGGTGTGGCTCAAGTGGTAGAGCGCCTACCTAGCCAAACATGAAGCCCTTGAGTTCAAATCCCAGTCCCACCAAACACAAAAGACAAAAATACACCTTCATTGATGCTAAAAGTCAAGGCGGTCTCACCTGAGGTCCTCGAGGGAGACTTTTGGGGGGTGCTGCTCCCACAGAGGTGTTCAGTTCATGAAATCTATTAGAGCTATATAATTGGGAAGTGCACTTTTCTTTTTAACATTGGACACGTTTGCCAGGAAAACGGTTGCTATTAATAATGACTTTGGTGCTTTCCAGGAAATAGGAGCGGGCTCCGCAGCGACAGGTCCCCAATGCATTGCACTCTCCATTTCTCTTCAGAGTCGGCCCTACAAATACACGCCCTGCTTTCTCTCTTCCCAAGCCACTTCCTGTTTCCTGATGCGTCTCAACAGAGCTTCCCCAGCCCCTAGGCCCTCCTCATTATAGCAAGAGATTAGCAATTTCCAATTATCAAGGAGGCTTTTTAGGCAACGGCTCCCAAGGTAGCTAAACCTCATGCCCATTTCCCTTCTTTGAATAAGTCCCAGTTTCCAGGGACTTGGGGGGGGGGGGGGCCGGTAGGGGGAAGCTCTGAGCAGTAGGAGCTGTCCCAGAGGGAGGGGGGGGAGGGCTGAGGCTCTGGGGAGGAGAAGCAGCTTCAGTAGACAGTGAACAGCTGGAACTTTCCTGCCCCTTTGCTTGTTACAGGTCCAGGTGGAGCCCAGGGCCTTGTGCATGCCAGGCGGGCGCTCTGCCACCAAGCTCCATCTCTTCCAGGTAGACCCCTGGCCTGTGCCAGAGTGTCTGGAAAAGCCAACCCAGGGCTGCATCTCCATGGACTTCTGTTCTCCTGGGAAGATGGTAATATATGAGAAGATAGGGAAGAAACAGAATCTTTTTTTTTTGCCTTGTCCTGGGGCTTGAACTCAGGGCCTGGGCACTGTCCCTGAGCTGCTTTGGCTCAAAGCTGACATTCTACCACTTGAGCCACAGCACCATTTCTGGCTTTGTCTGTGTCTGTGGTACTGAGGAATGGAACCCAGGGCTTCATGCATGCTAGGCAAGCACTCTACCATGATGCCAACTTCCCAGCCCC